AGTGTTAGCTAAGAACCAATGTTCAGCTTTAGCGATAATAGTTTCTGCAGTATTTTTCAATTTAATTTCATTTTTTACAGAGTACACAAAAGTGGTATCGTCTGCAAATAGAACAGATTTAAAAGGACCCATATAATTACTTAAATCGTTGGTATATATAATAAATAGTAATGGTCCTAAGACAGAGCCCTGTGGAACTCCATGCTTAACCGAACTAAAATTTGACCTTTGGTTCTGAAATGTGACAGCCTAAAAGCGTCCAGATAAATAAGATTCTAAAAGTTTTAACGCACTTCCTCGGACGCCGTATTAATTTAACTTCTCAATCAAGATGTCATGAGAAATGCAGTCGAAAGCTTTCGACAGGTCGCAAAGAGTAACTGCTGTGTGACTACCTTGCTCAAGGCCAGACACCACTCCATGAACAACATCTATTACAGCTTGAACCGTTGATTTGTTGGTTCGAAAACCATATTGAGTGACACTAAAGTAGTTTTTTGACTCAAAATAACTATAGTAATACGAATACTATAAAATTTCTTTAAGTTAGGAACAAGTTGGAATATGCTTCTCTAATTAGAAATGGACAGTATTAATATTCAATATAAGAAGTTGAAAAGGTTCAACACGAACAGCTTAGATATGTGTACTGCAAAACCAACAGACCAGATTACAATATAAGATCAACTCAGCAGAAAAACGAGTTTAAATTACCTAGTGTAATAGCTACCTGAAAGTGCAGAGCACATTGTTAAGTGAAAGGTCACAACTATGCTTTGAGAAACAGCAATAAATTATTTTAAATATTTTTGGGTGGATTAGGTTGTTAAGATTGCTGGTTGGTCGCTATCGACCAGGGATAATATTGTAATGTGACGAAAGTCTAATTTGTTTAAAGTTTATTTATTTAAAAACACACTATTTACCATTTATTTCTGACGTACTATTTAATTTATGTAATATTTAGACACTAAGTAACAATTCTAATTTATTCCTCACACTTTAACTTTTCAATACAATGTTCTACATTAAACTAAACTCGGCGCTGATACGTCGGCTATTTATATTAGTCCAATTCCGCTACTGGAAGATACGGGAGACTCTCGAACATTCCTTTTTATGACTAATCGGCACTCTCCGCCATTCCAGTCGCTTCCAGTGCATTAGCGGCAGACATTCCGTCGTATTCAAGACACGGTCCAGCTGTTTTCACACGTCAGCGTTGCTTCGATCACGAGTTGATTGGGTGCGTATACAGGATCGGATTAGGAATTCATGACATTCATGACAGTAATAATTAAATATGATTCAAATTCTGTGGTTCTAAATTTAACTGCCCACCCTCGTATTGAGATAAATAAAACCCACAATAACCAATAGCATAAATAATCCTGTTTTCCAACCAGCAGCACAGCGTGCGTAACAACATTTTTGATTCTTATCCTTATATCAAAGAAAAACAAAGGACTCCTGAGAATCCAATGATGGAATTAAAGATAACAACATTTTTTAAAAGAATACAAGGCGTCGATAGGATTTCCAGCAAAGCTTTCAACAGTTTTTTAATACAAATAAGTCGCCATCTTTATTACATCTTGGAATTTGATCTAATACCTTATAAGCTCGTTGTAATTGAGACAATTTATGGATCTAGATATTATAAGTTTTTTATAAAATATTAATTGTAAGTTGTCATGTAGAGAAAATCGTTAAAATATTTGTTTTTGTATAATATTTCAGACTCGATGATTCGTCTGTAATCATAAAAACGACTAAATATTTCACCGTTTTGTACTATGCAAACAGCAGCCTAGCAGAATATACCTTATGTCGATTTTAATAGAAAAAGGAGGAAATGTATACGTATTGTTCTAATGGGAAGGTTTATTAAGACTGAAACTCCTTACACTTGGAGAGGAAAAGCCAAAGGCAACTAGCTAGATCCAAAAGCTACTTTTTAGTTTATAAAGTTAACTAGAAAATGTCAAACAAAATACTCTAATCAATAATCAAAGAATCTCCTCAATATATTTAAAAAGGTCGAGACGGGGAAGGTTGCATGGCCCACGATTCTAACCAAATCTAATCTAATGCCAAACATTAATATTAATAATAATAATAATAATAATAATAATAATAATAATAATAATAATAATAATAATAATAATAATAATAATAATAATAATAATAATAATAATAATAATAATAATAATAATAATAATAATAATAATAATAATAATAATAATAATAATAATAATAATAATAATAATAATAATAATAATAATAATAATAATAATAATAATAATAATAATAATAATAATAATAATAATAATAATAATAATAATAATAATAATAATAATAATAATAATAATAATAATAATAATAATAATAATAATAATAATAATAATAATAATAATAATAATAATAATAATAATAATAATAATAATAATAATAATAATAATAATAATAATAATAATAATAATAATAATAATAATAATAATAATAATAATAATAATAATAATAATAATAATAATAATAATAATAATAATAATAATAATAATAATAATAATAATAATAATAATAATAATAATAATAATAATAATAATAATAATAATAATAATAATAATAATAATAATAATAATAATAATAATAATAATAATAATAATAATAATAATAATAATAATAATAATAATAATAATAATAATAATAATAATAATAATAATAATAATAATAATAATAATAATAATAATAATAATAATAATAATAATAATAATAATAATAATAATAATAATAATAATAATAATAATAATAATAATAATAATAATAATAATAATAATAATAATAATAATAATAATAATAATAATAATAATAATAATAATAATAATAATAATAATAATAATAATAATAATAATAATAATAATAATAATAATAATAATAATAATAATAATAATAATAATAATAATAATAATAATAATAATAATAATAATAATAATAATAATAATAATAATAATAATAATAATAATAATAATAATAATAATAATAATAATAATAATAATAATAATAATAATAATAATAATAATAATAATAATAATAATAATAATAATAATAATAATAATAATAATAATAATAATAATAATAATAATAATAATAATAATAATAATAATAATAATAATAATAATAATAATAATAATAATAATAATAATAATAATAATAATAATAATAATAATAATAATAATAATAATAATAATAATAATAATAATAATAATAATAATAATAATAATAATAATAATAATAATAATAATAATAATAATAATAATAATAATAATAATAATAATAATAATAATAATAATAATAATAATAATAATAATAATAATAATAATAATAATAATAATAATAATAATAATAATAATAATAATAATAATAATAATAATAATAATAATAATAATAATAATAATAATAATAATAATAATAATAATAATAATAATAATAATAATAATAATAATAATAATAATAATAATAATAATAATAATAATAATAATAATAATAATAATAATAATAATAATAATAATAATAATAATAATAATAATAATAATAATAATAATAATAATAATAATAATAATAATAATAATAATAATAATAATAATAATAATAATAATAATAATAATAATAATAATAATAATAATAATAATAATAATAATAATAATAATAATAATAATAATAATAATAATAATAATAATAATAATAATAATAATAATAATAATAATAATAATAATAATAATAATAATAATAATAATAATAATAATAATAATAATAATAATAATAATAATAATAATAATAATAATAATAATAATAATAATAATAATAATAATAATAATAATAATAATAATAATAATAATAATAATAATAATAATAATAATAATAATAATAATAATAATAATAATAATAATAATAATAATAATAATAATAATAATAATAATAATAATAATAATAATAATAATAATAATAATAATAATAATAATAATAATAATAATAATAATAATAATAATAATAATAATAATAATAATAATAATAATAATAATAATAATAATAATAATAATAATAATAATAATAATAATAATAATAATAATAATAATAATAATAATAATAATAATAATAATAATAATAATAATAATAATAATAATAATAATAATAATAATAATAATAATAATAATAATAATAATAATAATAATAATAATAATAATAATAATAATAATAATAATAATAATAATAATAATAATAATAATAATAATAATAATAATAATAATAATAATAATAATAATAATAATAATAATAATAATAATAATAATAATAATAATAATAATAATAATAATAATAATAATAATAATAATAATAATAATAATAATAATAATAATAATAATAATAATAATAATAATAATAATAATAATAATAATAATAATAATAATAATAATAATAATAATAATAATAATAATAATAATAATAATAATAATAATAATAATAATAATAAATAATAATAATAATAATAATAATAATAATAATAATAATAATAATAATAATAATAATAATAATAATAATAATAATAATAATAATAATAATAATAATAATAATAATAATAATAATAATAATAATAATAATAATAATAATAATAATAATAATAATAATAATAATAATAATAATAATAATAATAATAATAATAATAATAATAATAATAATAATAATAATAATAATAATAATAATAATAATAATAATAATAATAATAATAATAATAATAATAATAATAATAATAATAATAATAATAATAATAATAATAATAATAATAATAATAATAATAATGGCCGTCAGGCCAGGTGGAGCACGTCAGGAGGCGAAATCCTTTGGGTCCCACCTGCTACGGCATGTTGGGCGAGCCGTACTGCCTGTAGCCACCACGAGGAGAAAACCTCACCACACGGAGGAAAAAATCCACGGAGTAAACCAGTCAGAAAAATCCGTAATCTGTGGTATGGAGCGCGCCTGGAGATGCATGGCACGACGGATGTGTCGCAAGCGGCCCCCCAGCACCATGGCGAGGGTGTTGGGGTAGACGGAGGCTTCTATGCCAATGTAATGCCTTACTTTCGCAAGCGGGGCTCTGCGGGAGTGGACCTGAAATTCCCTAGCTACTCGTGGGAACTATATGGATGAATCTACACAATGTACAATTGGGGAAACCGGGAATGAAAACGGGGAAACGATAGAGGTATTAGAAAAAACAAAGAGAGTAGGAGAACCGATAACAGAGAACGAAGAAGGCAAGCACGTTGAAGGGAGACCTTTCGAAAAATCGAACTTGATGAGGAGATCGCCAATACAAAATACTCCAAAGAAGCAGATAGTAGTAAGGAAAAGCGAAGCATTCGACGAGGTGTTTCATACGCCCAAAGGAGGAGAAACTGAAGTGTTAAAGGCGAAAAACCGTGAAGCAGGAAATACAGACGATGAACACAACTGGGAAGATGAGGACATCGAGACTAGTCCATGCTTTAAACTTCAGGAAAGTAAAGAAAAGCGGAAAAGATCTGGATCTACACCAAGAGAGAATAAGAAAAAGCACGAGGATAAGCTTACCAGTATTAAAAGGTCAATGAAAAGCGCGCTAAAGAAGACCGAGGGACTAAACAAGATACTAAGTAACACACCGAAAACAAAAGTAGAAATGAGAACATGCATAAAAGAACTAATAACTATAATGAAAACACTTGGTAACAAAATAGAAGAGTACGAGGAGGGCACTACTCCGAAAGAAGGAACCACAGAAACAGCAACAACACAGACGATTATTAAAACTACGAGAAGCATTGGTGTGCAGGTCACAGAAGAAGTTCTAAACGAAGCAGAAAAAAAGCTACAAGACCAACTTAAAGCAGCAGAGATTAGAGGAAAAATGAAGAACCTCAAGGCAGAGAACGACCTTTGGGCGCTAACAGAGGAAGAATGGCCGGAAGAGGCATACAAAAAGACTAAACTAACAACTGAAAGCATATTGCCAGAAGGGGATGTAGCGATGTACCTTGAAACTAATCAAACAGAAGGTATTTCGAGGAAACTTATGGACAAATACCCTGAACTAGAGAGCACAGAACCAGAAATAGACGCGAAAGGCAAACTAGCATACATGGTTGTCACAACCAGAATTCCAAACAAGGGAGAAATTAAAACGACAGAAAAGTTTGTTTTTAAAATAATGCCTACGGACACAGCTATAGAAACAACAAGAAACAACGATGTGAAATTCTCAACTGCAATAAACTACTTCGTGGAAGAAGCCACCAAACTAGGAAGAAACAAAATATCTTTAACACTACCAGAAGAAACAAACTTAGATACGGCGAGAAAGCTGGTCGAGGTGGCTGCCCAAGACGCAGAAGTGAGCATAGACATTCTCCACACTCAAATTATACCAAAAACCAAGGCAAACAGAACAGAGGACAGAGGAGTAGTAATTATAAAGAAAAGGGAAGGAAAGTCATATGCGGACTTACTAAAAGAAGTCAAGGATGGAGTCAGCAGTGCAGATGTTGAAATAGACAGCGTGCGACAGACACGAGAAGGCGGAGTACTAATAAAAGTAAAAGGAGGCATAGATAGGGCGAACAAGATCAAAGATATTATTAAGGGAACACCAGCAAACATAACAGACGTGGTGACAAGATCTGGAGGCAAAACAAAAACGATACACATCTTTGGTCTTGATATGATCACCAGCAAGGAGGAGATAATAATGGCCATACAGAGCCAAACGAAAACTGAAAACACAGAAGAAATAGTTGTGAAATCTATCAGACCCACAGTTGCAGGCGGACAAAATGCAACAGTCGAGCTGCAAGCTCGTATCGCCGAAAACTTACTAAGAACTGGGGCCTTAAAGGTGGGCTGGATGAGCCTCTCCATCAAGGAAAGAATAAATCTGCAGCGATGTTTTAGATGCCAACAAATAGGCCACGTAAGGGAGAACTGTCGAGGTGAAGACAGAACAAACGACTGTCTGAGGTGCGGCAAAACCGGCCACACAATTAGAGAATGCCCTAAAGACAATGAGGAATACTGCCACAACTGCAAAGAAGCTGGCCACAGAAATAGCAATATGAGGTGCCCAATATACAAAAGACTCATAGAGGAGGCCAGAAAAAAGGAAGCCAGACAGAGACTACCCAGCACTTTCTAACCAAGTAACAACAGCAGCGAACAACAACTACACAAGCAAACAACAACAAAAAACACACAAGCACCAAGGAAAAGAGGGAAATGCAAAGGATACGTATTTTACAAACAAATCTTGGAAGAACCAGGGCAGCACACGATGCAGCCTACTCTACAGCATCAGAAATTGACGCCGATATAATAATCGTCAGCGAACCCAACAAAAAAATCTGCGCAAAAAGAGGCTGGTTTGTCGATAATCTAAAAAACGTCGCTGTTTACATAAAAAATAACCGTATTTGCATTAAAAAAATAAACTCCTACGACCACTACCTGACAGTTACATTTCCAGGCTTCACATTGTACGCAGTCTACCTTTCACCAAATATACCCTATCAGGACTACACAAATAGCATCGACAACATCATGGAAAACGCCAGACACTGCCAGACAGAGCTAGTTATCGCAGGTGACTTCAACGCCAAATCGGCCGAATGGGGATCGCCTGTAACTGATAGAAGGGGAACATTATTTATGGAATGGATTACAACACTAAACCTCAATGTACTTAACAGAGGCGACAAACCCACCTTTGTGAGAGGAGCTTCAAAATCCTTCATCGATGTCACATGTGCCAGTCAGGAAATATGTAAATCAATAGGCAGCTGGCAAGTACTAGAAGACGAGACACTAACACAACACAAATTCATAGAATACACTATTGATGGAAAACCAACAAAAGATCGTAGAAACCCCGCCACCGTAGACTGGGAAGCTTGCAGGGCCCTTATTGACTGGCACACAAAAGAAAGAGAAACCGTGGACATAGACGAATACAGTGATATTACTAACAAAATATGGAAAGGGAGCATTGTAAGGAACAAAGCAGGCAGAGGGACACCCTATTGGTGGACAGCTGATATTGCAAATAAAAGGCGCGAGTGCATAAGAAACAGACGAACTGCTTGCAGAATACGCACAAATAGAAGACACAGCACAAGAGAGATCGAAACTGCAGAAAATACCTACAAAGCATCGAAGACAGAGCTAAAAAAACTAATATTCACTTCAAAAAAGAAACTCTGGCAGGAATTACTGCAGCAACTTGAAAACGACATATGGGGGGATGGCTATAGAATTGTAATGAAGCAGCTTAGAGCTTACATCCCGTATGCACTACCCAGGGAGGAGAAGCTCAAAATTGTTCATGAACTATTTCCTAAAGGCACAAATATGAATATCAGAAGAGAAACCAGTGCAGAAGTCAACATGTTTAGCGCAGAAGAGCTATCGAAATGCTTAAACGCCCTCAAAAATAAAAAATCCCCGGGAATAGACGGTATACCCCCAGAACTTGTCAAACTAATAGGCAAGGAAAAGCCGAACTGGCTCTTAGGGTTTCTCAACGAACTCCTGACCCTACAAATCTTCCCCAGCGCATGGAAAATAGCGAAGCTGGTCTTGATACCAAAGAGCAACGTACAAACCGATCCAAATAGTACGAAATACAGACCAATCTGCCTACTAAACACTATAAGTAAAGTTTACGAAGCGCTAATCAAGGGCAGACTAGAAGCATACCTGGACGAAGAAGGAGGGATATGCGAGGAACAGTACGGATTCCGCAGGAAAAAATCAACTATTCAAGCCATAGAGAAGGTCATCTCTCTGACACGGGTAGAAAATGAAAAAAAATGGGGACTGCTAATTACTTTAGACGTAAAAAATGCCTTCAACAGTGCTTCATGGGACAAAATCAAAAAATGTCTGGCGAGACTAAACATCCCACAATACTTGCAAAACATAATAGATGACTATCTACACGACAGGGGTATAACTATCGGCAATAAAGAGGTCGTAAATATCACAGCAGGCGTCCCTCAGGGATCGGTCCTTGGACCAACCCTGTGGAACATAGTGTATGACGGGGTACTAAATTGCAGATTCCCGGAAGGAGTTAATGCAGTAGCTTTCGCCGATGATTTAGCTCTCACGGTATGTGCAAATACAAAATACAACCTCATCCATAAAGCAGAAGTAGCCCTTGATATGGTAGAGATCTGGATGGAAAAACATAAGCTTACCCTAGCAAAACACAAAACCGAGATGATAGTTCTAAAAGGCCCCAAGAAAAAAACAAACCTCATAGTACGCATGACAGACACAGAAATAAGACCTACAAAACACGTTAAATACCTGGGAATAACTTTAAGCGAAAAAGGAAAGTATGGAGAACACCTGAAAAAAATCACCAGAAAAGCAGAACAGCGAATTACAAGCCTGTCTCGCATTATGCCAAATCTAGGAGGCCCAAGCAGCATGAGAAGAAAGATTCTTCACGGCGTGGTCCAATCCACCATACTGTATGGCGCACAGATATGGCATCAGATGCTCCATATAAAATACTATAAAACCTTACTATCTAGAGTAGAGAGGAAATGCCTATTGCGAACCTGCAGCGCCTACAGAACGGCATCAACAGTCGCCTTAAATGTCGTGGCCGGGATTATTCCTATACACCTGATGGTAAGGGAAAGATTCCGTTTACACCTCAGGAGAGAAACCAATAATATAGCCAAAAAGGAAGAAAGGCAACGCACCCTCGAGATGTGGCAGAATGAATGGGAGCAGACAGAAGGGGTCGCTCAGTGGACGAAAGCACTAATACCAGACCTGCAGAAGTGGTTAAACTGCAAGCACCGGTACACAGACTTCTACCTCACTCAGGTACTCACAGGCCATGGAGTGTTTAACAAATACCTGCATAGGTTTAAAATAAAAGAGACAGAGGACTGCGTATACTGCGGAGCTTTAGATACAGTGCCACATACTTTGTTCGAATGCCCTAGATGGTCGATACAAAGACAACAAACACACACCCAGCTAGGGGTAATATTGGGAGCAGACAATTTCCTGGAAGAAATGTTGCAAACGAGGGGTAAGTGGCAGATAGTACACCAGTATATAAAAACAATACTGAAGACAAAAGCAGAGGAAGGTAGGCAGTAATTAAATGCACAGACCAGAGCTGCACAGAAGATATGCCACCATGGCGGTACCTGTTCAGCTCCTTCGGAGGAGGTGGTTTTTTAGTTGGTTAAAGTCCAATTCGCGCAAAGAGCGTGTCCATGATGGATTTTCCCACCTCCGACAAAAAAAAAAAAAAAAAAAAAAAAAAAAAAAAAAATAATAATAATAATAATAATAATAATAATAATAATAATAATAATAATAATAATAATAATAATAATAATAATAATAATAATAATAATAATAATAATAATAATAATAATAATAATAATAATAATAATAATAATAATAATAATAATAATAATAATAATAATAATAATAATAATAATAATAATAATAATAATAATAATAATAATAATAATAATAATAATAATAATAATAATAATAATAATAATAATAATAATAATAATAATAATAATAATAATAATAATAATAATAATAATAATAATAATAATAATAATAATAATAATAATAATAATAATAATAATAATAATAATAATAATAATAATAATAATAATAATAATAATAATAATAATAATAATAATAATAATAATAATAATAATAATAATAATAATAATAATAATAATAATAATAATAATAATAATAATAATAATAATAATAATAATAATAATAATAATAATAATAATAATAATAATAATAATAATAATAATAATAATAATAATAATAATAATAATAATAATAATAATAATAATAATAATAATAATAATAATAATAATAATAATAATAATAATAATAATAATAATAATAATAATAATAATAATAATAATAATAATAATAATAATAATAATAATAATAATAATAATAATAATAATAATAATAATAATAATAATAATAATAATAATAATAATAATAATAATAATAATAATAATAATAATAATAATAATAATAATAATAATAATAATAATAATAATAATAATAATAATAATAATAATAATAATAATAATAATAATAATAATAATAATAATAATAATAATAATAATAATAATAATAATAATAATAATAATAATAATAATAATAATAATAATAATAATAATAATAATAATAATAATAATAATAATAATAATAATAATAATAATAATAATAATAATAATAATAATAATAATAATAATAATAATAATAATAATAATAATAATAATAATAATAATAATAATAATAATAATAATAATAATAATAATAATAATAATAATAATAATAATAATAATAATAATAATAATAATAATAATAATAATAATAATAATAATAATAATAATAATAATAATAATAATAATAATAATAATAATAATAATAATAATAATAATAATAATAATAATAATAATAATAATAATAATAATAATAATAATAATAATAATAATAATAATAATAATAATAATAATAATAATAATAATAATAATAATAATAATAATAATAATAATAATAATAATAATAATAATAATAATAATAATAATAATAATAATAATAATAATAATAATAATAATAATAATAATAATAATAATAATAATAATAATAATAATAATAATAATAATAATAATAATAATAATAATAATAATAATAATAATAATAATAATAATAATAATAATAATAATAATAATAATAATAATAAATGTCTAAAGTTTTAAACTTGGGATTATCCAAATATTGCATTTCTACCAAGGATCATTCTAACCTAAATACAATGCCTAAAAATTAAAAGGTTACTGTTTACTCCACAACGGATTTTCGGTAATAGATTAATAATATAGCTATATCGTAAAAAATATGTATTTAAATAGGAAGATCTAAGAATATAAAGTTTATCAACCTTTCAACGATCTTGTCATATAATAAATATAATTTTTCCTAAAATAAATGATGTTTGCTTTACTTAAATCTGTAATAAAATAGCATTTCTATTCGCCAGCGAAAGTAATGGCTAATATTACACATACTATTATTAAAGTTAGTAAAATAATCTAAGTAAAAGTTATCATAAAATGTAATAATAGATGTAATTATCTCACAATTTCGCTAAGAGAAGATCTCTACTAAGGTCAAACTTTCACAACATATTATTATAAAAACTAGACGTTTACAGCGGATTATGAGAATTATAAACATGTATGTGTCATATGTATATATTCCATAATTATCACTAATTTATTTAAATCCAGTGTTAGAGGCAAGGTGGTTAACGTATTTTTCTATAAATGATTTAAATTAATTTTTTGCACTAATAAATTCGAATACATGTAGGTTAAAAGATTTGATAAGTAGGTAATTTGTATGAAGTGACAAAAATAATTTATACCGATGATGGTCGAAGTTCACATATTGACACCAGATGGCCTGATGTCTTATTTAGTAGTATTAATAACTAATAAACTACAACTAACAGAACAAGCCAAGAAATTGTAAAATTTAATAGAATAAAACATGGAGAGTACGGTGGTCCAAAAAAAGCGAAAAAATTTTTTTTTATTTAAGTCTTCTATGAAAATATGTTAGTTTATCATGTTTTAAGATCTCCCTCCAAAGGACAGCTTAAAAAAATTTTTTAAAGGGTCGCTCCGAATTTTTAAAAAAATTTTTCTTATTATTTCATTTTTTTCTATAAGAAAAATCATAAAGATCCTGAAAATTTCAAGTCGATATTTTAATATTGAAAGGTCACTTAGAATTTTTCTAAGGTTCCAAGTCGAGTACTTTATATCTCTTCGAGCTACTTTTGAACATGAATATTAACGAAATATATATTTTTTTTCTTTCATTTTACATACCAAAGAATGAAATTGAAGCACGAGAAACGAAAAAACAGTTTAATGAAAACAAAAAATATAAAGTTCGTTAATATTCATTTTCAAAAAGTAGCTCGAAAAGATATAAAGTACTCGATTTGAAACTTTAGAAAAATTCGGAGCGACCTTTCAATATTAAAATTTCGACTTGAAATTTTCAGGTTCTTTATGATTTTTCTTATAGAAAAAAATAAAATAATTTTTTTTTTCAGCTGTTCTTTGGATGGGGCTCTTAAAACATGATAAACTAACATATTTTCATAGGAGACCTAAATAAAAAAAATGTTCGCTTTTTTTGGGCCACCCTAATGGAGAGGGACAATAAATAAGAAAAACGGGAAAACAAATAAACAGCACCGCAAAATTTAACCGGATACGTGAAATTTTAAAGTATTCTCCTTATAGTTTTGTTGAATTGCCCTGTATAATAATTAAATATATTTATTAAAATATAAGTTGCATTTATCCATTCGTTTTTAAAAGTTTGTCATTTTTTGTGGCTGAAAAGAAAGTTTTTGTTAAGGTGTTCTCGATAATCGAATATTTACTTACAAAATAGTGCTTGTTAAATTGATTGTATGCCTTTTTGGTGTGTGGTTGGCTGCTTTTTCGGGAAAAAAAAATTGATTTTATTAAGAATAATTTAAAATGATGCCAGTTCAAGCAGCGCAAGCTGTTGCCTTACATAATGATGGTCGTTCCATTCGTTATATATTGCTTTACGAAGATTTAGAGAAACTGGTTCTTACTCTAGAAGACCTGGACAGGGAAGACCAAGGGTAAAAAACGCCGGTGAAGATCGATTTCTGAGAGTTCAAGTGCTTCGAGAGCGGACAGTTACTGCTATAGCTTTGACCAGGAGACTGGCAGATGTTCATGGATACTGATGTTCACCTGATACTGTACTCAGAAGATTAAGCGAACAAAATTTATTGTCTTATGTACCTGCCACAGGCCCTTTACTGGATGCAGCTCATCGACGACAACGCTTACAATTATCTCGTGCTTTCTGTTTACAGATGAGTCCCGTTTTACGAGATACTCACCTGATGATCGCCAAAGAGTATGAAGAAGGCTTGGAGAACGCTATGCTCAATGTTGTTTCTCTCCTAGAATACAGTTTGGTAGTGGAGGTGCAATGGTATGGAACGGCATTTCTTTGGAAGCACATACAGATCTTGTTATGTTAGAGGGATCTGGCCTTAATGCTGATAGGTACATTAGGGAATGTCTGAAAGAACATGTGGTACCTTATATGCATTTTGTAGATGAACATTTTCTTCTAATGAAAGATAATATCTCGGCCGCACATAGCCAGGGTAACTATGCAATACTTTACAGATGTTGATATTCAGATACTAACCTGACCTCCTATAAGCCCAGCCTTAACCCCATAGAGCATTTGTGGGACCACTTAGAAAGAAGACTTAGACAAAATTATGGCAAGTTTGAAACTGGCGAAAGCCCAAGAGGGTGGCGACTCGCCGGAGATTGTCACCGGAATGTCATTTCATGCAAGTTTTTATTTTCTTTTATAGGGATTATCACCGGTATCTCTCGCATTTTATTCATGATTCATTTCTTAAAAC